GGAGGGTGATTTCTCGCTTTCTGTCTCTCTGTTTCTGTCTTTCTGGTGAGTGCACACGCCCTATAGCAAAAACCTCTTCAAAAAAAAATTAAAATTATTTTTTAGACTATTTATTTATTCCATAAGTGGCAAAGACAGAGAGAAGGAGGCACAGAAACACAGAACTCCCGACAGGGTTCAGGTGCCATGATCCACCTTCAGCTTCAGCCAGCCTATATCACAGTCACAAGCATGCCCTGCATACTCAGGGAGGTCTCTGGATTGGCACTGCCAACCTGCCCACATGAGACTGCCTCATTGTGTGTATTACTGCCACACTATTGTGTAGTCCCAACCTATCTATAGATATAGATATAGATATAGATTTTTTTTGGGAGAGGTTTTTGCTATAGGGCGGGTGTGCCTGCCAGACAGACAGATAGAGACAGAGAGACAGAAAGTGAGAAATCACACCCTGAGGGGATGGACACGCCGCAATCCCTTCTCTTCTATTCTCCTCTCAGGATCTTGGGCACGCACGCACATGTGCCCGGCGTGAGTTTAAGCCACCAGGTCCAGGACTAGAACTGCAGTTGACTACATGGGAGTCCAGCGACATAGCCATTACGCCACCCGCTGGTCTCACAACCTATATTTCTTTAAAGTTAATTTTATTAAGAGCGAGAAACAGGTATGCCTGTTGAGTTCTCATCATTCTCTGAGCTCTTCTCTTCTCTTTTTTTTTTTTTTTTGGAGAGGTTTTTGCTATAGGGCACATGCGCTCGCCAGACAGACAGAGAGAGATAGAGAGACAGAAAGCAAGAAATCCCCCCCCCAGGGGGATGGCCACGCTGCAATCCCTTCTCCTCCATTCTCCTCTTGGGATCTTGGGCACGCACGCACATGTGCCCGGCGTGAGTTTAAGCCACCAGGTCCAGGACTAGAACTGCAGTTGACTACATGGGAGTCCAGCGACATAGCCATTACGCTAGCTGCTGGTCCCTGAGCTCTTCTCTTTCTCAAGAAATGAACTTTTAACAAATAGTAGGGAAAAAGTGGAGGCTGGGGCCAGCAGGTGGCTTGGTGGTTAAGGTGCTAGATTCCCACATGGCCAATTGCACAGCTTGAGTCCTGGACCTGGTGACTTGAAAATGATGCCAGGCACATGTGCATGCTTGCCCAAGATCCCAGAAGGAGACTAGAGAACGGACTGCAGCGGGGACCATCCCTCCTGAGGGGTGATTTCTCACTTTCCCTCTCACTGTCTCTCTCAGCAAGTACATGTGCTCTATGGCAACCCCACCCCCCAAAAAAGAATTCTGAAGTTCAAATAGTAATGGAAATTCATGATGTTGCAAGTCGTACAATTTTGATTTTGACTTCAAGCCACCCAGGACCATGGGTATATGACCAGAGTGTCTCAGGTCCACCAAGCATCCAAACTGAGCCCTACAGAGTGGGACCTACCACCTATGGCCTATTTAAACCTGTGTACTCCGCTTCGACTCTTGGAAAAAGAAAGCAGACTAGATGCCCAATCTATTCTTCTATTTGCCCTCTACTGCAGTATCCTTTTTTTTTTTTTTTTTTTTTTTTTTTTTTGGTTTTTTGCCATGGGGGTTTTTTTCTGGGGG